AAATTGGTTAATCATCTTCTTGAGCATCCAATGAGTCTTCTATGTAATATTTTGTGGTTAATTTTCTACTTGTTCATGAAGCTTAGAATTTTTATGTATGAAATATTTACTATAGACCAATAAATGTCATATGCATGTAGACAAGATTAATGTTCTATAAATATATTTTAATAAAATTTATAGTTATAAAACATGCATGTGTTATATATATATCACCTGCATATATATATATGCACAAGCATATATATTATTCCATGTTTTATAATTATGTATCTCTCTTTAAAAATGTACTCTTTTATTAATGCTGCTTTTAAAGTTAATCTGATGCTGGTTTTAAAGTACTGTTTTAAAGTGAATTTTGTTTGGTGCTGTGTACGATTCCAAGAAGCATTGTTTTTCTGTTGTGGTTATTATCAAGTTTGGGACTTTTTTGACAGGAATCTCTTGGCTTCTCCCCTCACACCGTTTCTACCCCTTTTTGACCTTACCTTTCAGGTATGAGTGCCTCCTGAAGGCTCCAGACCCAGTGCCAATGCATGCTCTGGAACTGCTGGTGGCCCTGACCAAGCACAGCCCTGCTTCTGTGAGGTGATACAACTACACATTCTCTCTTGCTCAAAGCTCTTTCTGTTTCCATTCCTTTTTCCTATTAGGAATTAGCAATAACAGATCTCACTGTTGTACAGTTTTGGCCAGTACTTTGGTCTAGAAAATCCTTGGAGAATGTTTGTTACAGAACAGTCTTATGTCTTTTCTGCAAATTTTATACAATCCTGGTTATTTTAATATGGATTTAGCCAATGAAACCTTAGACAAAATCATAAGAATTTTAACTTTTATACAATCCTGGTTATTTTAATATAGATTTAGCCAATGAAACCTCAGACAAAATCGTAAGAATTTTAAAATTAAAATGATAATGAAAATGTAAAAAAAAATAGCACCAAGACATTATCAAAATTGTTGTCCAGCTAAGCATATTTATAGCTAGGACAAAGGTTATGTGTCAAAACTTTACACCAGTCATTTCACTTGAAAGGTGGTCAGTTTTCCTGCAAATATAGCTATCTTTAAAGTTCCCAAGTATGGATTTTAATGTTTAAAAGTATCCTAGTATGTTTTTCTTCTTTTTCCAAAGTTTAGACTGATGGACCAAAAACAAATAAAAAGGTGGCCTAGAGCTTAAACTGTTCATAGCAATAACTTAAACTGAACTGATAGAAATAAGGAAGCATTTCTCTATCTTCCTGGATATGCCAGGAAAATCTGGTTATTCCTACAGTCACAGCTCTCTGATAGGTCATTGAACACCATACTGTCTTGCTTTGATTGATTGAAATGATCACAAGATGAAATTTCCTTCCTTATGTTGTTTTCTTTTTTTAATTTGTTTTCTGTCTTTTAATTACAAAAGATGAAACATCCTCTTTTCATCCTTTAGGATGCTATTGGGAGTGATGCTTTAACATACTAAGTAGACTACAAATGAACTAGGAAATAGGGTGACTTGAGATTTTAAATGTTCTGGGTGGTATAGAATAGTTTTTGTTGCATACAAGCTGTTTATGCTACTGCAGGATTTTTTGTACTATAGAAAGAACTAGAACAGTGTCCCATGTTTAGAATTAACCTACAAATATTCCATTACTTTAAGGGTTAAAGAGTATTTCTCTAACTAGAATGATGGTTATTATAGCAGCACATCTCTTTGTTTGAGGAATTTTGTGTATTTGCTGTTTTGCTCAATGTAGGTAGATTGTGGATGCACACTCATTCTCATGGTCATCTTGAAGCAAATAGGAACTTCTTTCCTAGTACTATTAAAAAGCAGATGTGAGTATTCAATGAACTATTAATAATTTTAAATACCTATATCCAGGACATTTAAGGACTGGCTACTAGATTCCAGATTCTAACTCATCTGCAATTTTTCTGTTCTCCCATGCCTTACCTGCCCTCTTCTTTTGCTTTCACTAAATCGTTTATTTGGCTAGGTTTCTGAAGGAGTGGAGTTTCAGCAATTCTCTTGGTCTATCTTCTTCCAGATTCTTTGGCCTCTCAGTAACTCTTGCTGGAAGTAGCCAATGCTTCAAAAGCATGAAAGATGTGAATAATATATTCATATTTGTGCAAACTGCTAGTGAACAAAATGGAAAGCAGGTACATGCTATAGTGAACACTAGATCACAGTTGGTTCTGGTTTGGGTTGGTGGCTAAATAGTCACTTGGAGCTCAGAATTACTCAAGCCATATGCTTTCTTTTGCCCCTTTCATTAGACAGATGAAAAGTATTTGAAGCTATTGTGATGGGATGTAAATAAATGACATTAGGCACAAATCCTGTGGGATTTAATTTGTTATTTGTTGAAAAACTCTACTGCATTGTAGTACTGATGACAATGATGTGAGTCACTTCCCGTAGCATCTCTGTGGCTTCTCCAAGCTTACATTTTATCCTCAATGCCTGGTTTTCAAGGATGGATGCTTTCTTCTGTGATTTTAAAGGAATAAAAAAGGTTGTCGTAAACAGATTGTAAAATAACAAAATGTTAAATTAGTATTTACCTTATTGTTTCCACATCTTTTAAACATAGCTGTTATTAGCCTTATTTTGAAATAGAGTGAACTGGGAGGAGGATAAGGGCTGCTGTATTTCCATATAGTTTGTTCCATATGATAGCTTGTTCTCAAACAGGTTCACCTAACACATTCTCTTTCTTCTTCTCTATTTTTTAATTCCATCATTTTACTACTTCCCATCCCCTCAGTCTTTTCCTGTGTGCTTTTTTAAACTTACGGTAAAATACTGCTAATTACAATATGTATTTTGAATGCCTTTAATAATTAGTATTTTGTAAGAATGCAAAAAAAAAGTTTGTAATCTTTGCCATTGCTCCACTATTAAGGTTATTTTTAACATTCTTTATTATGGGAATTCTTCCACTCTATTGCTTTTCAATTTAGCAATGAAAAACTCTAGTGATATCCCATTAGTGTGCTGCAGAATTAGGTCTCTCACAAACATGTAGTAGCTGTGAAAAAATCTGTTGTGTTTCTGTGTAAGTATTTGGACCTCTGATCATATGAACATCCACAGGAAGAAAATCCAGCTTTACAAAAGGATGAGTGTTTTCTTGTCTGTTTTGACCTTAATGGGTTAGAGTATTGGATGAGTTGGATGTTTTCCTTTTGTACCTGTTTTTACATCATGCAACGATTGCTGTCTGATACAACCTCAATTAGAGTTCATTTGCTAAGAAAATAGCAGATATTGGAAGGATGAGCTTTGAACAGAATTTGTCCATCAGTTGCCTATTTTATACTTGGCTCAAAGAAAATAGTCTGGCTTTGAGTGTTAGTAGTATTCTGTTGTGGCTCTCCTAGATACCCGTTGCCTTTTCTTCACTTTTCATGTTTTGTAATAAGGAAAATTGTGGACATTAAAACCAGTGTGAGAATTAACAGCTATTCATCTTCATATATGAATATTCATATTTAACTGGTTTTGAGACTCCCGATTTTAAAAGAAATCACCGATATTAAGGTAACCCGTAGCTTCTAATAATGATTATCTTTGGACTATGGGAAATTTGCATTAGTGTTTTTTCCCCTGTGTTGATTGCTCTTGGTGGATTATACTTGTGTGAAGAGTTGTTGAAGGAACAGAACTTCTCATAGTGAGAGCAAATGTCTGCAGCAGGGTGACATCTGATTTAACTATGCAAAACCTGTATTCAAAGATAGCAGTATCATAAGATACCTTGTCCTTTGTGTTTTTATCAACTTAGTGTATAGGTTAAATGGATGAACAAAAACTCAGAAATCTATTCATTCAGGGTTGGGGCTTTTTTTGGTTCCTGGTTTGAATCTCCTGGGCTGTTTTTTGCTTTGGAGTTGGTTTTTTTGTGGTTTTTTTTTGGTGGTCCGTAATGATCAGATTGCTTTTTTTTCTAGCAGCAAGGAGGAGTTGATGTAAATTTCTTAGTTTATATGGTGTATTGATTAGCTGCTCCTAAATGTTTTGGCTGTTGTAAGGTATTCTAACCTGTGCTATTCCAGGAAACTTTTACTGGATCATCATTCTTAACTTGTCTCTTAGCCTTACGGGTAACTTTATGAAATGTAGCTGTGTGCTCTTTTATTCAGCTATTTGGCTTCCCTTTACTCAGAAACTTATAGCATTTGATGACATTAATATATCTGTAAGCTGAACCTTCTAAACTATGGAGTCTGATTTTTATGGGTTGCTAAAACAGATGTTTTTGGTTGCAAGGAAGGGAGACAGTAAAGGTGATAGAGTGGAGGTAAGGAGAATGTCAGATATTGCATCAGATAATAATGATGGGAGTGGGACACAATCCAGTATTCTGTTATTAACGTCATATCCTGAGGGGGAAACACTAATCTAAAAACTCATGATGTGACCCTTCTTGGATTTATGGTGAAGGACAGGGAACAAAATTAAGGAACCTTCTCCCACCTCCTGTTCTTAAAATAAATCTCCCAAGCAAGCATTGCTCTAGAGAAGGGGAAAAGGTGTCAGAAAACAAAACAGGAAGGTGCTGGAGAGCAACAACGAACAAAAAATCTGCTGCTTCTGAATGCCACAGATCTAATACCTGTAAAGATGATGCACAGATCAACCTTGTACACTGTAGCAGATTGTCTTGACTAATAATAGTAATTTTATGCCATAGTGTCTTTGGAATCATCTAAGAATGGTCCAGTTTTCAAACTTCATTTATACTACTATACTATACTACTTTGCACCCATGCATTATTTATTAAAGACCATTAAAGGCACATTTTAGGGTTGGTGTTAGTAATGAATTCATCCTCTTTTCATACATAATGATCTTCTACATCAGCATTTGTTTACATTTCAGTATACTCTGAAATGGTCTATCTTATATTGTTATCCTCAATTTCAAACAACAAACAATAAAAGAAAAACAAACTGTGAAACAAAACCAAACACTTTGGAGTTCAATGTGGTGCTTTTAATTGTTTTATATTGGTAGAATTGTGATTCAGTTTGCAAGCACTTGTTAGCACTGTGCACAGATTATCCTTGAACCTCCTGTAGATTCTTTGCCATTATTGTAGAGGACTAGCCCTTCAGTGCTTTCCTTGTGAATTGATTAATGTGGGAGTATATTAATTGCTTTAAAAACACTTTGTTCTTCTCATTAGTCATTTTAATTTCCTAGTTTTAAGGTTGAAATGCCCACTTTAAAAAGTAGATCTATTTGCTTCTAAATTACTTCACTGTTTTTGTGTTTTCTTGTTTTCTATAATGAATATGAATAAAATATAGTATCTCTGATAACAGGTAAGCCTTAGGGCCTAGTGTACAGCATTAGTGAGAAAATCACAGTGCAGATAGATTGAGAAAGATTGTCAGAGGATGAAATAGTTTTATTAGAACTTTAGGGAATGTTTATGTAGATTTAGAATTTAGATTATGCTGCTTTCACATTTATGAAAATTGAGTTGTAAAATCCCTGATTTTCTTATTAGACAAGTAATGCTAATATAAGCCATAAAAAATTCATATGATCTTTGCTGTTCCTATTATTTGGTGTAAT